ACACACACACACACACACACACACACACACACACACACACACACACAATATGGTTTCTTCAGTCTTAAATTCTGCAGTGTTTCCTCCAATATATAAGTGTGTGTGTGTCCATGCGTCTTCAGGTATCATGGGAAAGGAGGGTCGTCAAGCTGTGAGAAACAGTGACTATGCAATTGCCAGGTTTAGGTTCCTGGCGAAACTTTTGCTGGTCCATGGTCACTTCTACTACATTCGAATAGCTACGCTTGTACAGTACTTTTTCTACAAGGTGAGTAACTTAACTTCATCTGCACATGCTTTGTAATCCATTGTTTTGAGCAATGCCAGCAGAATACATCTTATAAGCTCAACAAGACTGTTAAAGGCCAAGTCTCCTTTTAACTGCAATGTTTTTAATGTGTCGTTCCTCCGCTCTGTCTTTTCTAGAATGTGTGTTTTATCACGCCACAGTTTTTATACCAGTTCTTCTGTCTGTTTTCACAACAAGTAAGTGTCTTATCTCTCCATCTCTCCTCTCTTTCATTTGTCATTGTTGACTTGTTTGTGGTTTTAATGTTGCACAGTCTACCATTGACTACATAGAATGTGTTCTTAACTATACCAAAGGGTTTCTTTTCAAAACTCGTCTTTGGATGAGGCAGCTTGATATCCAGTTTGATTTATATTTTTTATTTGATATCATTTATAAGTTTTAAAAACAGGCCAGAACTTCATTGAGATTAATCTATGACTTTTACTTACTGCTTTGAGCCATTACAAGTTACGGTTTAATGGTTTATCAAGCTATTATTGATATTACGTCTGTTGCTAAATCTTTAGTCTGTTATTACTTTGGGCCAAGAACAAAATGATATCGACCCTAAGACATTACTGCCATTCTTTATTTATTTTTACTTGTGTGTCTGGCAGTGGTTAAGCTCGCGGCCTGTTTTGTTTGAGTTAGTCGATGATTTGCTCACATCCATTTCCGCTAATAGTTTGGTGTTAAGTTAAATGCCTTATCTGTCCGTCCCAGACTCTGTATGACAGTGTTTATCTGACGCTGTACAACATCTGCTTCACCTCGCTGCCCATCCTGGTGTACAGTCTATTTGAACAGCTGGTCCATCCGCACGTACTGCAGAACAAACCTGGCCTGTACCGGTGAGTTCACATGTAATCTGTTGGTGCACACTTTACATTTAGAGCATTAACTGCTCGTGGGAAGCTTTGTTATATTGACAAAATCTCCATGTCCGCCACAAATTCATAGACAAAATGCAGTTACTCTTTTTGTGCTTTATACGCCGTCTACATGCATTCATTTGCTGCTGTTTACTTAAGATGTTTATGTAACATTTTAAGTGAGATCAAGCTAAAAATAGTGCGAGGTTGTTGCCATCTGCACACTACTTCGTCTATAGTCAAATAAATATTTTTCTTGAATCTCTCTGTAAATGACTATGATTAACTTATCCATCAAAGTGAAGCATGACATTGCACTTTGATACATTATATGCACTAAGAAATACACAAATCCTGCAGGGACATCAGCAAGAATTCTCTGCTGTCTTTCCGGACGTTCCTGTACTGGACTTTGTTGGGCTTCTGTCACGCCTTCATCTTCTTCTTCGGATCCTACATACTGATGGGAGAGGACACCACGCTTATGGGCAATGGACAGGTGTGTGTGTGTGTGTGATGTTCTGTGTATTTATAGTAGAATCTTGAGTAAAGAAAATGCTCTTAGAGGATTATCCAAAACATAAAATGTTGCTTTGTGATGATGCTAGGTGCGTGTGTGTTATGAGTTATGATGAGTTATTGATACTGATGGGGGTGGTTACCTGCTGGACGTTCTTCGCTCACTCCTTCATTTAATATTGTTCTTTTCTTATGTGTGTCTTCCTCATTCTCTTGTTTTTTTTAACAGCCTTGTGTACAGTCTGTTTGTCTCTATTACTCTGTCATCCACTTGTTGATGAGTAAGTTCTAGTAATCTTATCACATCCTCTGTTTCTCTCTCTGGTTTTTCACCAAATCTGTTTCCTTCTGATTTCTTTTCTGCTGCATATCTTTGCCGTCTGTCTCTCTGTTTGAAGTTTAATATTTCAGAAAGCACTCACTCCTTTTTGCTCTCTCTTGCTTGTCTTTTTTCTTCTATCTTTTGTTGATTTCTCTTTTTTCCTTCTGCCTTCATGCTGTGCATGTCTTCAGATCTTGCGAGCTAACAGGCAGCTGGTAAGAGTCTGCTCTACAGTTTAATGTATGTCTCCTTGGGGGGTTAATGAGAGGACTATCAGGATGATTGCTAAACATATTTTGGGCTTGTTGATCATGTAGAAATGGATGATTTTTCATACCTAAGCTCTACACTATTTTTACATGGTGACAAATTTGATTTTGAACATATGACGACATTTATAAAACATGCAGCGGCTCATTGAACCTTGAAGGTTCTTGTTAATTGCAATCAGTTTTGATTCCTCCATTTCCTTTCCAGAATTAACACAGTAAATAGTAGGCTATACAGCTAAGCTGCATATTTTGAACGTGTCCTGGGGGGATTTTGTTAGTTATCACCGGTTTCACCGGTTAATAGTCATAGGATTCCCTATTTTCATATCCAAACATCTATAGCGGTTCGTGCCCTTTGTGGTCGGGGCCCCCAGGCCCAGGTCAACTAGCTCGAATGGTAAAGTCTGCCGCCCTGGTGAGTTTTGCTGTGAACATGCGAGTGTATTTCACTGGTGTTTCTGACCGCCAGTAGCCGCAACTTGAGTGTGAGCTGCGACGATGTCATGGCAGGTGTATCGCTCAGGACCCAAGAAAGCACCGTGTCGAGTTTGAAGGAGCGGTTCTCGAGAAAGGAGAAAGATGAGGCATGTTGTTGAACAGGTGTAAGAATAACAAGGGTCAGTTTGTACACTGATTATGACAAATCTAAACAATGTACAAGGATTAACTGAAGTGCTAAGTGCAGAGTTTGTCAGGATTTTTGTTAAACTTTTGTTGTGGTTTTTCAGTTAAGTTATAAACTCAAACTGAGTGGTTGCGTGGATACATCTTCGTCACTGAATGCGTTTTTGACAGCGGTCATTCACATTACCAACGGAAGAAAAAAAGCTTCTCTTTAAAATGTATCGATGGACACTGGCCCAGTGAGTCGCGCTTCTGATGGAGTTGTTTGATGAGCGTGTCTTTTTTTCCTTGCAGTGGGGATTCCAATTAGTTTTTGAGTGTTTAGTTTCCAGCAGGGTCCTGAATTTGCTGGCAAGAAAGCAAAGCCCCCCCCCCCCGTCCCCCCCCCCCCCCCCACACCCCCCCCCCCCCCCCCACCCCCCCCCCCACAC